TTTTCCATCCCAGAAAGAGGGAGATCTCTTAGGAAACATGGAGCTGCTGTGCTGCGAGGTGGATCACATGAGGAGGGCTCTCCCTGACCCCAACTTGCTCTACGACGACCGCGTTTTGCACAATCTACTCACCGTGGAGGAGAGGTATCTGCCCCAGTGCTCCTACTTCAAGTGCGTGCAGAAGGACATCCAGCCCTTCATGCGGAGGATGGTGGCCACTTGGATGCTGGAGGTTTGTGTGCACCCCCTCCCCACCGCCGCCCAGCCTGGGCCGCCCACGTCGGGGCAGCAAGGGGGCTCCTTTGCTGCCTCTGCCCCCCCCCCCTTTTTTTTGCATGCTTCTGCTTTGCTTGATCCCTTCTGCAAGAAGGGGGATCCTGCGCTAGGCTCTGCTGTCCCCCCTTTTTTTACAAGTTGCCCCCACTTCTCTTTTGCAAACTTCTGCTTTGCTTGATCCCTTTTGCAAGAAGGGGGGACCTTTCCTAGGCTCTGTTATCCCCCCCACCCTTCTTTCCCCTCTTTCCTCTTTTTTTTGCAAGCTGCCCACCCCCCCCTTTTGGCATGCTTCTACTTTGCTTGATCCCTTCTGCAGGAAGGGGGGTGGGGGTCCTTTGCTAGTCTCTGTTATTCCCCCCACTTTTTTTTTTTTTTTGCAAGCTTCTGCTTTGCTTGATCCCTTCTGCATGATCTCATTTGCAGAGTTGGGGCTCCTTCCCCTCCATGCTTGGGGGGGGGGGGGAAATGGCGCACGTGTGTGTGTGTGTGTGCGTGCGCGCAGCCTAAGGGTGCAATAAAAAGCTGCTTGCAAAGAGGGGTACAAAAAAAGAGAAGGGGGTGCAAAAAAGTGACCGAGCCCGGCCCTGTGCAGCCGCCCAGCCCTTCTGCTCTGCCCCCTGCGGGCCGGGGAGCTGCCCCGGGGCCGAGCCCCGGTCCGGAGGGCCAGGGGGTGCCCGCCCGAGCAGAGCTGCCCCAGGGGCGCCTCTGTGCCCACGTATGCAGCGCTCAGGACGTGCCCTGCTTGCGCCATGTTGCTTTGCATGCAGCGCTGCTCCCAGGCCAGCCGTCCCCGCCCTTGCTCAGGGGCCGGGGGCTGCGTGGGCTGGGGGGGGATCAGGAGGCGCCCCGCTCCCTCCCTCCATCCCCCACCCCGGGCAGCGCTGCCCGCGCCCCCCAGCCGCAGCCCTGCAAGCCCCGCGCTGGGCCCTGCTTTCCTTTGCCCCGGCCCCTCTCTTTCCCCCCAGCCCATCTGCTCCGGGGGGGGGGAGCTACAGGG